TTGGATGCAGGCAGCGTTGCTGGTAAACAGTATTCGTAAAAAAACTACCTAAATGTCTATTAAAGAATGTCTATTAATTCGTAAAGAAATTAATAAAATAATCAAATAGTTTATGAAATGGTTTTATGCAAAATAAAGAAGTATATGAAAAGTTAATGTAAAGTCATTTAAAGTGGCGCCCTGGTGCAATAGGCACACTGATTAATGGATTAGTAGGCATTCGCAACGCAATCAGCTGAGCGTGGGCGTCGACTGGCCCGGCGGTCATACTTACTTATTATAAATTTTAATATTTGTGATTTTTTTTGAATGTCATTTGCTTATTTAAATATATTTAATGATTTCAACACAATGTGTGATACTGATATCAAGTGTAAAATAAATAAGGCATTTTCTTTGACCATTTATTCTGACATTGTTTAGGTACTACAAAATGTAGACTGAAATGGAGTCAGACATGACAACAAAAACTTAAAAGCAGTTTTTTCGTAAATGTATTATATGACTGAGAGCTGGCGACGAATTTTGGGAAGGTCTTTTGGGCAAGTTGAAATTATGAAAAAATATAATTTCGTCAATTTGCGAATCCAGTCCTGCGAGTCTGGCAGAGCGTTTGCGGTTATTTTGTTACTGCGCAGTATATAACATTTGCAAAAAAAATTTCCACAAAAATGTTTTTTTGGCAACTTGATTTCTTTTTATCTTTTAATTTAGTTTTTATATAATTCCAAAAAAATAATCCCAGACGTTTTTAGCGGTTATAACGTATTACCAGACCTCTCCAAAAATATATTTTTATTCCCAAAAAATATACTTTTGGCAATCTCAAATTTTAATCACGTATTTATTGAGTAATTTTTAATAATACCTGCAGATCACCAGACAAATTTAGCGGTTTTAAATAATTCCCAGACGTGAACAAAGTTTACAAATTAATACGACGAAACAGTCTTATGCATAGCCATAATTGCGAGAAAGATAGCTTATCGAACCATGCAGACATCGGATGGCGGCCTAAGCTCCTCACGCTGTGATTGGCTACGAAGTAATATCTGTTTTAAAGAATTTAAGATTAAATTCTTGTTTTGGGATTTAGCATGTATGTATGCGCATATATAACCATGTAAATATCTGTATTTATAGTTTGAATTATTTTAGATCAGTGCTGTAATAGTTTGTATAATAGCTATTAATTTAAACCTCGTATTAATAGTATCCTTGGCAAAAATATGTTTTGATAATTACCACCCCATGTTCTTAAAAAGGTACAATATGTATAAAGTGCTTACCGCCCAGAGATAAGGTGAAAAAAAATAACAAGTTGCACATTTTCTACAGCCGTAACTTTTTATAGTGATGTGGTACAAATATAGATGACATTCGAACTACCATATAGTTATGTATGCGCTATATTATTGTAAAGTTTTTTTAAAATCTTTAAAAAAGATATTTAAAATCTTTAAAAAAGATATTTAAAATCTTTAAAAAAGATATTGCTTAGTAACCAAACACAGCGCGAGGAGCTTAGGCCCCAATCCGCTGTCGGCATGCTTTGATAAGCTATCTTTCTCGCGCTCATGGCTACGCATAAGACTATTTTGTCGTATTCATTTGTAAACTTTATTCACGTCTGGGAGTTATTAAAACCGCTAAATTTGTCTGGCGATCTGCAGGTATTATTAAAAATTACTCAATAAATACGTGATTAAAATTTGAGATTTCCAAAAGTATATTTTTTGGGAATTAAAAAAAAATATTTTTGACGAGGTCTGGTAATACTTCATAACCGACGAAAACGTCTGGGATTATTTTTTGGAATTATCTAAAAACTAAATTAAAAGATAAAAATGAAATCAAGTTACCAAAAAAACATTTTTTGGAAATTTTTTTTGCAAATGTTATATACTGCGCAGTAACAAAATAACCGCAAACGCTCTGCCAGACTAGCAGGACTGGATTCGCCAATTGACGAAATTATTATTTTTCACAATTTCAACTTGCCCAAAGGACCTTCCCAAAATTCGTCGCCAGCTCTCAGACTAGGAGTGATCTCGCTAAAATTGTTTGTAATGATGTAACCAATATATTCCCAAAAGGTCATAAGTAAATTAAAAATGACCCTGTATACTTCACCAAGGTTATTATTTTTATAATCACAGATTATTAATACAATATTTTGTTTCGTTAAAAGTATGTAGGATTTATATATAAATATACTTATATGTCTCTAAATTTATGGAGTAACGTGAAGGTGTACTTCGGTATCTGCTACTGGAACTCCTTGACGAGTAGAACTAGTTGTGCCGAGATTGTGCTCGTTATGTTAGTTATGACGAGACCTTACCTCCGGACTTATGTAGTGACCTGTAGGTGTACTTCGGTGAATGCTACTGGAACTCCTAGAAGAGTAGAATTAGGCGTGCCGAGATTGTACTCGTTATGTTAGTTATGACGAGACCATACCTCCGGACTTGATAGAGTGACCTGAAGGTGTACTTCAGTGAATCCTACTGGAACTTCTCGAAGAGTAGAACTAGGTATGCCGAGTTTGGCCTCGTTTTGTTAGTTATGATGAGACCTTATCTCCGGACTTGATATAGTGACCTGAAGGTCTACTTCGGTGAATGCTACTGGAACTCTACGAAGAGTAGAACTAGATGTGCCGAATTTGGCCTCGTTTTGTTAGTTGTGATGAGAACTTACCTCCAAACTTAATAGGAATGACCTGAAGGTGTATTTCGGTGAATGCTACTGGAACTCCTCGAAGAGTAGAACTAGGTGTGCCGAGTTTGGCCCCGTTTTGTTAGTTATGATGAGACCTTACCCCCAGATTGATAGAGTGACCTGAAAGTGTACTTCGATGAATGCCACTGGAACTCCTCGAAGAGTAGTATTAGGTTTGCCAAGTTTGGCCCCGTTTTGTTAGTTATGATGAGACCTTACCCCCGGACTTGATAGAGTGACGTGAAAGTCTACTTCGGTGAATGCCACTGGAACTCCTCGAAGAGTAGTATTAGGTGTGCCAAGTTTGGCCTGGTTTTGTTGGTTATGAATAGACCTTACCTCCCTCCGGACTTGATGGAGTGACTTGAAGGTGTACTTCGGTGACTTCCACTGGAACTTTGACGAATATAATTACAATTTACAATTTTTTTTTAATTTTTTCACGATCTAACTAGTCGTGAAATTTTGGATTTTCCAAGCTTTTTTCAAATTGAAATTTAACATAAAATTATTAGAAAATTGGAATTATAGTAATAATTATAAGGTTTTTAGTGAAAACTTGTGTGTAATTAAATTACTTTAATACTACATATAATCATGTTATACGTAATTTTTTTAGTGCGCCTGCTTAAGGCATGCACAATTGGATTTACCAATAGTTTTTTTAAATGTAATTATTAAATATTGTTGAAATAGGCATTATTATATTTATTGATTTTCTCTAATACGAGGGCTAAATGAATGGTTAACAATAAATTATTTACAAAATTATATTTTTTATTTTGTAGTTACCTACTCCAGTTTTTCTTACTCATTGGACCTTTTTAAAACATCTTGATTAAATCATACATACCCAATGATGAAACCCGGAACAAAACCCGTTCTATAGTATAATTAATAGAATCAGGCGTTACTTTGCGGAAATCCATCATACACATCATACAGAGGTCAGTGGGGCTTCCACAACTTTTCTACTATTAGGATGGCGTGACTTTGGAATGAGGTGAAATATTTGACAGATCTAATGGCGGAAAAGTTAAATTGTTAGAAAAGTATAATATCTGTTTCTGATTTTTTAGTTAATTGATTAAAATATTTCCACAGTAACGTTATATCCCCGAAACTTCACCGCTGCATTGGAAGACGATTTCAAGCTACTGGACTAGAAAGGATACGGTATTTACATCAATGGCGAGTATATCATTCACCTTCTATTTGCCGACGATATCGTCCTTATGGCGGGATCGCTGGAGCACCTAAGCACAATGACCTCAATAGTGTCTCTCAACGGATAGGTCTTAAAATGAACATGGACAAAACATAGATCATGTTTAATGTCCATGTCACACCTATGCCGGTAGTTGTTGGGAGCACTAAGCTCGAAGTTGTTGACGAGTATGTTTACTTGGGACAAATAGTCCGACTAAGTAATTCCAACTTCAACCGAGAGGTCAATTAACGGATTCAACTCGGTTGAGCAGCGTCCGGGAAATTACGATACATCTTCTCATTAGGTATACCTCAAAACTTGAAAACGAGATTGTACAACGAGTGCATGTTGCCAGTGATGACTTATGGATCTGAGACGTGGTCGCTCAGCAAGCTATGGAGAAGGCTATCCTCAGGGTTTCTTTGCGTGACAAACTTAGAAATGAGGATATCTTCAATAGAAACAAAGTGACCTGCTGCTCACTGAAGTGGCAATGGGCCGGCCATATAGCTCGAAGAACCGACAACCGATGGGGAAAAAGGTTCTCGAGAGGCAGCCTCGTACAGGTAGGCGAACTGTAGGGCTTAAAACATATTTATTTTCACTTTACTTTTTTTATATTATAATTCGATTTTATCTAGTTACTATGATTTATATTGTACAATTTTTTTAATAATATTTTATTGAAATAATTTCATTACATCGCCTACCAGGTTCCACCTTATGGCACTCGGGTAATAACCGTGCAATGCAACAAATGCGCCTCACTGCAAAGTTGTGTTGCACGATCATGATTACAATGCATGCAGATGCAGAGCCGGAAACCAAAAATTGTGTGGGATTCGAAACCAAGACCTGCATTGTATTATTTTATGTATCTTGATCATTATAATTTAATGTCGATTCTCATTTATTTGCTATAAATTAGCGCATAAAGACAATTAAACTTTACTTTGTAATGTATTAGACGTTAACTTCTTACTTTTCTTCTCGTGTGCGCGCGCGCATATTAAACAAGTAAAAACGAATAAAATAGAATTTAGCATTAAATTAAATATAATTACTTTTATTTTTTCTTATTTTTTACAACAGCTTTTTTAGTGTTTTTCAAATGCTTGAAGGAACCAAGTGCTCGGCGGACCATGAGGCCACGCCACCAAGCTTGGATCCTTGTGGCAGCCGCTCGCGATCTCTCCTCTCGGGCTAACCGAGCCGCTCGTTCTCTCTTAAATGTTGACCAAGCTCGCATTTCACCAGCATGGTAACTGAACTGAAATAATTACAAGGATAATTATTAAGCTTATATTTCTATAATTTGTTTAATTCTTACAGCTCTATGAAATATTATGTAAGTACAATATTATTGTATATTATATTTTAAAGATTCCATTTCTATATAATACGTTCAATAAATATTGTGCCGTACGGTTTCAGAGTTGCGCATTTATTAGTAACTCGCTAGCTGCACTAGCACTTTTATTAGTAACTCGCTGATACCCCCGACTTCGTCCACGTTGCTTGATATATTATCAAAGTTTTTATATATGCGAAGGAAAAGACATCAAAAAGACAAAATTTCTTTGTAAACAATGACATTCGTTGCTCCGTTTGTAGCTAAAATATAAAAATTATCTGGGTTAGTAACGCCGTGTGAAAAACCACGTATAAGAGTTGTAGTTTCTTAAAACTTTAATAACTATTTTAAATGAAGATGTCGCTATATTTTTACCACCTGCTCGGTGGTGAATGAAAACATTGTGAGGAAATCTGCATGTGTAAAAAATAAGAAAAAGAATTTCGAAGACACGTGAAGTTCGTCAACACGCAATGGGGCAGCGCGGTGGACATTTCCTTGTCTAAGACCCTCTCAGAAATGAGAGGGTCTTAGACCTTTGCCCAGCAGTGGGACCTATACAGGCTGTAACTTTAACTTTAACTTTATTGCTATAATTAATTTTTTTTAGATAACAAATGCGTTACCATTAACGACTAATATAGAATGCCACGTGTTCTATAAAAAGGGTCTCCGGGACAGCAGCATTAAGCTGCTATTTTACGCTGATATTCTGTAAGAGCGTGGTACTTTCCCGGTCGGGGGTGGTCGTAGTTACAACCATATCTAATATATGAGAATACACTAGTAGAATAGTGCTACTACAACCATGATATATGAGAAGTAATAATTTAAGAATCATTCACAATCATAATATGGTTCAGAGACTTGTTCTGTTGATATATTAAAAGTAAAAATTAAGTAACTTCACCAATTTTTGTAGTTCTTCACGGCGAGCAATGGTCACGCGCAACTTTTCACGTTGTTCTATTACTTGTTCTCTAATCTTGGTAGTGTCGTCATTGTGCTTAATTTTCCAATACTCCAGCAATTCCTCTCGTTCCTTAAAAAACATACACTCGTTTCTTCGTGACCTCTAAATATTTTAGTGATATTTATATATACATCTACACATCTAAATATACATATACACTATATATATTTTTTGTGATATTAATATACATCTACACATATAAATAAAATTGAAATGAGTGTCTATTATATCGAAATAACTGCCTTTTACTGAGCTGGGGGCATTGATCCATTAACTTAAGTTTTAAAATTTTTGTTAAGCTTTCAGCATGACTGCACCAATTGTAATGAAACTTTACTAACAGATAAATAATAAAACCTAGCAATGCTAGGTTTTATTAAATATAAAAACCGACCGGTTTCGCCACCCTGATGATGCTGTTGAGGCATATAAATATGATAAATGAAATAACTAAAATGAACATTGTGCAACAATATGAGGCAATAGTGAATAAACTTTTGTTAAGTCAGTGCGCTTAACCATCTTCGACTGCATCACCACTAACCATCAGGTGGGATAGTAGTCAAGCTCAGGCTTAAAACAAAAAAAAATGACACGTGTATATCTAAATCACAAAAATGAAGATGAAGTTTCACCAAGCGACAACAAAAAGCTTAAGTAATATAGTTTACTTTTATTTGAAATTCATAAGCTTGCAATATTTCTGTGTGCACACGTTGCTCGTGATCTGGGCGTGGTAAAGGAGATGGCTTGATTTGATATTGTAATTCTAACACTTCGGCGGTGGCATACATGTATTTCTCTGCAAAGCAAAGTCGTACTTTTGCATTCAGTTGGGAATCCTAAAACAAAAAAAAAGAGGTTTTGGTAATAAAATTTACAATAGAAGTATCGTTTCGCCTGGTGAGTGCAGGTGACCGGAGGCCTAATTCCACCCCCCCATAAACATGGTAGCGAAATTACATCATAGACTACCCCAGGAGGGTATCAGCATCCCTGTAGAATCCCTCGCTGAGCATCCACGACCATGCTATTCCTGAGCGTGGGTGCTCAGCCTGCCCCGCGTATTCTGGGGGGCGGGGGGCAAAATTCCGCTCAACACTATAACTGCTCGGGGCAAACTGAGCAACAATACCAAGGCGACCCCTGCCACGCTATCCGTGAATTTCTGCAACATCAGGGGACTTTACTCGAACCTAAATGCCGTCCGCTACCATCTCGAGACGGCGACGATGAGGTTGTCCTCTCCTGCTCATCTGATATGGTTACATCGCCTACGCGGATTCCAGATGTTGAGGATCATACACCTTCCCTATTGGACCTTCTGCTGACCTCTCCGACAATGCAGCTCCTTCTCGGCTCTTCGGACCATTGTCTGATCCGGAGTGTGGTGCCACTCACGCTCCCCTCGCGGTTGCGTTCTGCAGGTTGCCGCCGTGTTTGGCATTACAGGTCGGCGGATTGGGACGGAATGCGGTCTTTCTTTGCTTCCTACCCATGAGGGCGGGTTTGCTTCTCGCCGGATGATCCCCGCGCTGTTGCTGACTCTGTCACTGATGTGGTGCTACAGGGAATGTAACTATTTATTCCATCATCTGTGGTACCCATCGGAGGCAGATCGCAGCCTTGGTTTGGTCTGGTGTGAGTGCTCCATGCCGGATGTGCGGTTCTCACAGCGCTCGGTTCGCAAAGCACTCCTCTCCCTGGATATCCACAAGTCGAGTGGGCCTGACGGAATCCCCCCAATTGTGCTGAGGACGTGTGCTCCGGAGTTGGCACCGGTTCTAACGCGTCTTTTCCGGTACTCCTACTCCCTAAGCGTAGTCCCGAAATCATGGAAGACAGCTTTTGTCCACCCGATCCCTAAAAAAGGCGACCGCTCAGACCCGTCTAACTACAGGACTATCGCCATCACCCCTTGTTCTCCAAAATAATGGAATCCGTTATAAACTGCCACCTCATGCGGTACCTTGAGGATCACCAGCTAATTAGTGACCGCCAATACGGTTTTCGTCGGGGTCGATCAGCTGGTGATCTTCTGGTCTACTTAACTCATAGATGAGCGGAGGCAGTAGAGTCCAAGGGGGAGGCATTGGCCGTTAGTTTGGACATTGCGAAGGCCTTCGATCGGGTTTGGCACAAAGCGCTTCTTTCGAAGCTCCCTTCCATGGGCTTCCCGAGAAATTATGCAATTGGATCACCAGCTTTCTTGCAGATCGGAGCATCAAGGTCCTTGTAGACGGTGCATGCTCCGACTACAAGCCTATTAACGCTGGTGTTCCACAAGGCTGTGTGCTATCACCAACGCTGTTTCTTCTGCATATCAATGATATGTTGCAAACCGGTAGCATTCATTGCTATGCGGATGACAGCACTGGTGATGCTCTATACACCGGCCGTGCCAACATTTCTCGGGAAAAAGTCGCCGAGTACCGGAACAAACTTGTGTCTGAAGTCGAGTCTTTGCTGGACAAAGTCTCGGATTGGGGGCGACTAAATCTAGTCCAGTTTAATCCTCAGAAGACACAAGTTTACGCGTTTACCGCTAAAAGGAACCCTTTTGTCGTATCTCCTCAGTTTCAAGGTACTCCCTTTGTTGCCTCAGCCATTATCGGAATCCTCGGCGTCGACATATCGAGTGACGTGCAGTTTCGTGGTCACTTGGAAGAGAAGGCCAAATTGGCTTCTAAAAAGCTTGGCGTGTTCAGCAGAGCGGGACAGTATTTCATGCCGGCACAACACCTGCAACTTTACAAGGCGCAGGTTCGGCCTCACATGGAATACTGTTCCCATCTCTGGGCTGGGGCTCCCCAGTGCCAGCTCCTTCTACTTGACCGCATCCAGCGCAGAGCGGCTCGAATCGTCGACGACCGAGTCCTTTCCGATTGGCTCGATTCATTGGCGCTGCGAAGAGATAATGCATCTCTTTGCATTTTCTTTCGCATGTACCACGGGGAGTGCTCTGAGGAATTGTTCGGATTAATCCCAGCCGCCAAATTTCACGAACGCACATCGCGGCAGAACTCCCGATACCATCCTCACCATCTGGATGATTGGCGGTCCACCACTGTGCGATTTAGAAGATGTTTTCTTCCTCGCACAACTTCCTTGTGAAATAGTTTACCACCAGTGATTTTTCCGGATACGATTTAGGGACCTTCAAGAAAAGAGCGTACTCCTTTTTAAAAAGCCGGCAACGCATCTGCAATTCCCCTGGTGTTGCGGTTGTTCATGGGCGGCGGTAGTAACTTACCATCAGGTGAGCCGCATGCTCGTTTGCCCCCTCTCCTATAAAAAAAATGTGGTAAATCGTATCACCATAGACCGCAGTCTAACAAAATCTTTTTATTTTTATACTATGGTATTTTTGTACTTTTATACTTTTTAATGTAAAAAAGGTATAAGTAGGTACTTACTCTAAACTCATCTTTCAGTGAAGCAACTTTTTCATCATAGTTACGCAGCTGTAGTTCCCAGTGAGATCGTTTTGTTATCAGTTGATGCTTAACATTTTGAATTAATCTGAAAATTACATTTCTAATAGAAGTAAAGGTGATACGGACACACCATTCACCTGATCCTGTAGATATCTATATCTATGGTCGATTGAGAATCAAAACACAATCTATGTAGTGTGACCCCGACGACAAATATGTGATGTATCGTTACCATTAAAAGGGCTTCCGGTATTGATCACTCAGCATTATGGTACTATTTCATTCCGGTATTCTGCGCGGTCCTTCCCAGGTTGCACCAACCCCTACATGCTGCAGCCATAATAGATATGTATATAATCAAAACCATAATATGCTGAAACATAGCTCTACCAAATAAAAGATGGTACTATTTTTTTATAGGATAAGAGTGACAAACGAGCATACAGTCCTCCTGATGGTAAGTGGTTGCTGCGGCCCATAGACATCTACTATCTATCTATCCTCTATTACAAATCAAAATGCAGATGCGTTGTCACCCGTGAGGACTAAGATAGAATGCCTCATTTCCAGAAAAAGGGGTCTGCGGTTTTCTACACTCACCATAAGGAACCCAGCAGCGTTAAGCTGCTATTTTACGCTGGTATTCTGTGAGAGCGTGGTCCTTCCTCGGTCGAGCCGACCCATTCGTGACTATACTACTAATATAGCTGCAGCATGGCTCTACCACGTAAATCATGGCACTATACTTAAATTATCTTTATAATATATAAAATTACGGTGTTCGTGTTTTCGTAATTCTTATCCTCGTAAGCGGTAGGGTCACCTGGTTGATACTTAGCTATAGTTTGATTCGGTACGTGATCGCTAGTAATATTATAAATTACATCTTATAATGGTAATGTTACCATGTAAAAGGTAAAATTAAAAAAAACCTGCATTGCTCTGTTATATACTACGAGCACTTAACCATATATATATATATTTCAAGCACATGAAACTGCCGCCATTAGGTATTGGTATAGAAGTATAATTTGCCCAGCTGTGGGGCGTAAAGAGGCTGTTACATTATTTTATCATCATTATCATTATCGTTACAGCGTATCAAAAGTTCACTGTTGAACAAAAGCGTCCCCCATGGATTGCTTCATAGGGTGGATATTTGCCATAATTACCACAATTGGCAGGCGGGTTGGTTTCTCAGTTTTTTATTAGTTTGAGTCGTTATTAGGAAGATGCTGCTGCCAATCTCCTGTTCCAGTTTCCCTCTGTCGCCTCCTACGACACTCACTGGATAATGTGGGGTTGGGAATTATATAACGCCGTTACGGCTATATTACAATGATAGGAATTTATTACAGTAATAAAATGATAGGAATGGGAGGCTCACAAAACAGGGAACCCTGAAATAGATTATTTAATTTTTTTAACTGCTTTTTTAAAATTTAAAATTTTTCAACATGTCGCGGGTTTCAAATGCGCGACCAGTACACGCTAATGTCTTTACATGCCCCCACAAATAAAAATCCATTGGTGTGATATCTGGCGATCTGGGAGGCCATACACAAGGCCCGCCACGACCGATCCAGCGACCACTAACAAAATGTAATACAAAATAATATATTTAATAGAATTTGAAAACAATGATTTGTACGAGTCACTGCAGCGTATATTATGGAGCTGCAGAAGAAATAGTTCGACCCGTGTGGGAAGGACTACGCCCACACAGAGTGAATTAGAAGCATGATACTACAGTTCTTAAGATGGGTGACAAGAACTGGATATCCTTTTCAGGGTGCCAATGTATTGGTGTCTATGGGCCCACATTTTCTGAATACGCATAGAGTAGTCTGTGGGTCTCTTCATCCACTTACCAGCCAGTGGACTATGTTCTATTGTCACCCATACCTATTGACTTCCACGTGTATAATATTTTCTTTGCATTGTGTGACACTGTCTGGATTTATTTTGTAAGCGATAGATATTAAATGTCCTAAATAATAAGAAAAGTCACAAGAGGTCCTAGGTCTTTTGAACTCTCTCTGGACTTTGTTGTGGGCATTTTTCATAAAGACCACATTGTAGTGGAACGCTTCCTGTGCGCTACACTGTCGCGGATGTTGTGTCTGAACTACGTGTTATATCAATCGGGTGATAAATAAATGAGACTTAAATAAACTAAATAACAAACTGAAAAAAATTAAAACGAATATGACAATTGTATTTCGGATATGGCTGCCTCCCATATGACACCTGTCATCCTTAAACAATAAGACCATGGTACATAGTCACGCCCGAGAACTACGATAGAATACCTTCATCATAATACTTTTCGAACTTGAACACAACATTTGGTGAACGGCTAGTTAAGACAGAAATCTAGGAACTTTTCTAGGAACTTGCTAGGAAGTACGTAAGTATGTGAAGACTTAACACAGAATAAATAATAGTATAATAGTATATTATAATAATAGTACTAGCCTTACTTATACAAAAAATAATACCGAAATCATACGTTTTCAAACGATCATGGTTTAGCTGCATTGATGTAATTGTAGATGACGATTGATTTAAGATGTCCACAGCTTGATAAAGAGCCAGATAATGACCTTCTTCAGCCACTTGCAGCAAAGTTGTTCTAATGACGTCTGTCACCAATATTCTGAAAGAGTTAAAGATTGTATTTATACCGTACTAGCTTTTTTTCGTGGCTTCGCTTCTGTGGATTTCGGTTTAACAAAATCATTAGTATTCCAAGCCAAAATGCGCAAAACGGAACATCCCTGGAATCACTTAGGTGTGTGCTTTTATGTCACGATTATTTTACGTAGATGTTTGAAATGATGTCTGAATTGATTACAGAACGATCGAATCATTAAAATAATCCATTTTTGGGACTATAATTGGAAGCTAAACGTTTTTATATTTCATTTTTCATCCATTTTCAGAGGTCGGAAAAATTTGTCCTTAAGGTTTTAAAACGTGGGTGAAAACTTTGTATGAAAAATATTGTATTACAATATATTGCCCGAAACACCGGATGATGAAACGTGATTTATTACGTAAGTACCTACTAAAAAAAGAATTTATGAAAATTCAACTGGACTTGGTTCTAACCAGTGTGATGGAAGCTTGTGATTGTCTTATAGGATTTACTACTCGTTACTACGTTATTAAGTCCTGACACACCCATTTGTCAAGTTCCTTTATTTTACCGATTTTCCACAAATTATCTAATATTGTTTTGACACTTACATCAAAAGCATACGCTAGCTCAGCCGTAGTTTGTGACGAATCAGCTTCGTCTATCACCTAACGTTCATCATTATCAACCTTTTTCTCCGGGTGGTCATGAGGTTCATTTGTGAGCTCAAGATTTTCCAAACGATTGAACCAATAACGCACAGTTCATTCGTTAGTATTGCTATTACTTCTTCATTGATATTGCATCGTTATCGTTATCGTGAGACTCGTTGTTTCCACGTTGGAACTCATATTCAAAAAAACACGAATCTACTTAGAAGTCAATCATTGATTTAAAAAGTATTGTATATAAATCTAAACTAATAAATGACTAATAATGAAAAAATAAATAAAATGCATATAAAAATTAATTTGAATTTAGAATTACTAGTTAAATAATAGCTGTTACAGTTCGAAGTGACCTGTTCAATAAAACGATTAATTACAATTTATGATCCAACACAATTCGTGATGGTTATTAAAAATATTATAATAACGTGACATTTGCAGATAGCGCCATCTATTTAAGCTTAAATTAAACTTACCGATCTCTAGAGAGCTTATCACGTTGATGTCTTTTCTTCTTGTCTGAAGCGGAGAATAGTTCAACATTCTGGAGAGCACGTCTCTCTAAAACATATATCGTTTAAGCAACAGATGGCACTTGAAGCTATTTTTTATGCTAGTTTCAGATTTAAATCACATAATTAATTTGTTTTATCGTGTAAAGAATTTCCTATTCTTAAAAGAAATCTTTTGTGAATAAATTGTCATAATTCATAATTCACAGTTGCTTTGCTTTTATTTTGTGAGCTAATAACTTTAAAGCAAAATTACAGGTTATATCCAACTGCTGGACATGGTCTCATCTCATTTCTAAGAGAGTTTGTCTATAAATTTATCTAAATGTTGGTAAGGATAAATATGACAGTAGAAATTACATAGATCTACAGTGTAGTAAGCTGAAGATTCTACGGATTAGTAAGCTGAAGTGGCAGTGGGCCGGCCATATAGCTCGAAGAACCGACAACCGATGGGGAAGAAAGGTTCTCGAGTGGCAGCCTCGTACCGGTAGGCGAAGTGTAGGGCGTCCCCCCACGAGATGGAGTGACGACCTGGTAAGACATGCAGGAAGTCGATGGATGCAGGTGGCTCAGGACCGTGCTTTGTGGCATTCTTTGGGGGAGGCCTATGTTCAGCAGTGGACTTGTGAAGGGCTGTAATGATGATGATGATGACAGTGTCATTCTTTGATTAAAAAAAATCTAGTTATTTCAGGAAACCCTGTTTGTTTTACGTTTTATTTAAGGATTCAAATAATAGGAACTGGGTAAATACATTATTTAATAGATAGCACGTCGTTTAAGAAGTACCAAGAAGAGAGAAAAAGTAGAATATTGTGTTGCTAAGAAATATATAATTATTTTTTTTATTTTATATTTTTGACATGTGTGATATCATCATCGGAATCAACCATGGGGAGTGCTCTGAGGAATTGTTCTGATTAATCCCAGCCGCCAAATTTCACGAACGCACATCGCGGCAGAACTACCGATACCATCCACACCATCTGGATGATTGGCGGACCACCACTGTGCGATTTAGAAGATGTTTTCTTCCTCGCACGACTTACTTGTGGAATCGATTACCATCAACGATTTTTCCGGACCGATACGACTTAGGGACCTTCAAGAAAAGAGCTTACACCTTTCTAAAAGGCCGGCAACGCATCTGCAATTCCCCTGGTGTTGCGGTTGTTCATGGGCGGCGGTAGTCACTTACCATCAGGTGAGCCGCATGCTCGTTTGCCCCCTCTCCTATAAAAAATAAAATAAAAAAAATCTTTAAAATTCATCACAATTCCCATACTAAACATAGTCCTGCCCCACTAATTGCTATATGGGACGGTCATGAGCCTCTACATGTTTCATGTTATTAAACGTTAATGTAAGTACATAATATATCACTTGGAATATCTATACAATTCTTCCGTCACGTCGTGAACAATTAAAATGTATACTCGTACTACCGTCACTTCATCAGATCGTGTCGCTTTCGGTGTGCGATTTCAGCGTTTGGTTTCGCTGACAAGCTAATGTTGGCATTAATTATGTTTTATTTTAGCGTTGTAGTTTTATGTAAGAATAAATATAAAGTAAAATAAACAAATTAATCTTAAGTTGGGCAAATACCGTGTACAAAATATAAGGCTCACTATAGAATATGCGGTTTGATATTATTTTTTTACTCTAGGTATGATTTCTTATATTTACGCGAACACTACACATTTTAAATAAAACTAATTTTACGGATTTCATCGCGTATATTAATCTATTTTTATATTCCCGACGTTTCGGGTGCTTTCCAGCACCCGTGGTCACGGGGGACTGAGGTGTTTGACGTCCTGCTGTCATAGTTAGCCCGGCTACCTTCAGTTTTTTAATATAAATTTTTGGTCCGATTTACGCAGAATGAGCTTACAGTATCTTGAAGTCTAGCAGTGGTATACTTGGGTTTGGATTTGATTTTATTAATTATGGGATCCCAAGCAGATGGCAGCACCCATCAATCTTCTCTATTTAAATTAGGATGTTTTTTAATTTCAATAGCCTCGCGAATCATCCTTGGGAGGAATCGGTGTTCTTTTGCGAGGATTTGTGGTCTATCAAATCTAATGTAATGGCGGGGACGATCTTGAACATGTTCACAAACTGCAGACTTCCCGATACGTCGGTGCTTCACGTCAGCTATGTGTTCTTTAACGCGGGTTTTAATAGATCTTTTTGTTTGTCCTATGTACGAGAGACCACATTCACAATCCAGCTTGTACATTCCTGCATCTTGTAGAGGGATATGACACTTGACGGATGGTAAAAATTGACCAATCTTCTTCAGCGGCTTGAAGTATGTTTTAATGGAAGCTCGCTTCAAGATGTAGCCAACCTTGTCTGTGACTCCTCTAACATAGGGTAGTACAGCAGGCACACGCTCGACTGTGGCTGGCTTCACTCGGTCACTGTGACGTAGGCGCGGGACCCGAAGCTTGTTGTCTTGCAGTACTTGCTCGACATGCTGAAGCTCGGCGGCCAGATGTTTTCTGTCACAGATCCCTCGTGCTCTCTGACCACGGGTGCTGGAAAGCACCCGAAACGTCGGGAATATAAAAATAGATTAATATACGCGATAAAATCCGTAAAATTAGTTTTAGTCGCCATAACAACTACACTTGTAAAATATATTTATTTATTTGTTGCTTCATAATATAATAAAACATATCATTTGGATTTGACTGGCCTGTTGGTCTAGTGGTTAGTGACCCTGACTGCTACGCCGGAGATCGTGGGTTCGATTCCCACCCAGGACAAATGTTTGTGTGATGAGCACGATCATTTGTTCTGTGTCTGGGTGTAATTTATCTATAATATTTATGTATTTAGAAATATATAAGTATGTTTATCAGTTGTCTAGTACCCATAACACAAGCTCTGCTTAGCTTGGGACTAGATGGCGTTGTTTGATAGTTGTGGAATATTATTATTATTATTATTATCATATAACAGTATCGTCTTGAATAAAACTACTTTTACGGATTCTATCGCGTTTAATTAATTTGTTTTATATTCCCGACGTTTCGGGTGCTTTACAGCACCCATGGTTACGGGGCCTGAGGTGATTGACATCCCGATGTCAGAGTTAACCCGGAGTACCTTCAGCTTTTTTAATTATTAATTTTTTTTCTGCGTAGATCGGACCAGAAATTAATAATTAAAAAAGCTGAAGGTACTTCGGGTTAACTCTGACATCGGGACGTCAATCACCTCAGTCCCCTGTGACCATGGGTGCTGGAAAGCAACCGAAACGTTGGGAATTAATAAAAATAAGTTAATTAAACGCGATAAAATCCGTAAAAGTAGTTTTATTCAATGTGTAGTGTTCGCGTAAATATAAGAAATCATTATAGTACCGTCTTGTTAAGTTCTGATTTTATTTTTAAATAGATAGTAGCGTTGTGATTTTTAGTTTATTGTATTCTAGGCTAGCTGTTATGTGCTATTCCTGTAGTGAGGAGTTTTATAAATTGTCCTTTCAATCTTACTGAGTGGTCGATGCATCGTTGATTAGATCGCTATAGGAGCTACAATACGGCTGCAAGTAGTAGTTTATTTAAGTTAAAAAAGTTTACAAGGAGCAATTTCTGTAACCTATACATAATATTACGTGGATGCATATTTTAAAACCGCATGTGTGTCTGTGCGCTTGTGGGTGCTGATCTTCACAATTGCAGAACCACTTTGAATGTGGATTTCGGTGATGTATTAAGATAAGCTTGGGGTAATACTTAGCGATTAATGAATAAAAATATACCAATTTTAAAGTGCATCTTGTCCGTACTTGGTGTGACACGGGCACACGTCGGAAGGAAAATCGCTGCTTGGCTGCTATATCCGCGTGTGCACACCAAACAGACAATTTTCAAAACCTATTAGATGACATATTTTTTTTACCGCAGGAAATACTTTCGACGATTACGAAAAGGACAGATTTTGTTTGACCTGCACCGGCGGTACAGCGTAAGTGATCTTTGCTCGTATAAAAACTTTAGAAGAGCGATAGCTTTGCCACTCTCGGTATTTAAAAAAAATACTAGTAACGCTATTAATATTAATAATATTCTCATTAACCACTCTAAATAAGCTCAAAATGATTGTGTTTTGCTCAAGAGTGGTTCAACATAATAGTTTAATGGTGAATTTGAACTTACGGCTATTTAAGTTTGCAATCAACAACACTCTACCAACTCTACCATAAGGCCACTGTCACTTCAAAATTTGGTCGCCAGAAGGAGCCGCAACATGGCACGTTCAGTTATATCTTAGTGTACTGTAAGATCCACCTGTAATGTCATGCAAAGCGTGTGGTCGATCTCAATTGACCACATGACACTGATAAAAAATTTTGATAAAAAAACTCTAAAAAAATGAGGTTATAGATTGCTTTGAGGTGAGCCGATGATGGTAGGTCGCACTGCCAGCTTCATCCTTGGTGTTTAAAAAAAGAAAATTCGATTGCTTATTTGCAAAAATTACGTCATTAGCGACGCTTATAGTTACAAAATTGGTCCTTACCGTTTTAGAGAGAATTTGCTTTAATCAGGCAGGCAAGCGGATTGACGATTGCAGTACCAAACGTCTCACATAAAAGGTATGCGGCCGCCTATCGGCTGCAACAAGTTTTTTCTGGCATATCTATTGCCGCCTCTTATGATAACGACGAGACGAAATGGTACAATCAACAAATTCAAAATATAAATAATACAAAATAATCATAGCTAATATGCGGAACTGAGACGTGGTCCTTCACTGCTGGCCGTATGAGGAAGCTCAAGGTCGCCCAGCGAGCTATGGAGAGGGCTATGCTCGGAGTTTCTCTGCGTGATAAACTTAGGAATGAGGATATCCGCAGTAGAACCAGAGTGACCGACATAGCCCAACGGATTAGTAAGCTGAAGTGGCAGTGGGCCGGCCATATAGCTCGAAGAACCGACAACCGATGGGGAAGAAAGGTTCTCGAGTGGCAGCCTCGTACCGGTAGGCGAAGTGTAGGGCGTCCCCCCACGAGATGGAGTGACGACCTGGTAAGACATGCAGGAAGTCGATGGATGCAGGTGGCTCAGGACCGTGTTTTGTGGCATTCTTTGGGGGAGGCCTATGTTCAGCAGTGGACTTGTGAAGGGCTGTAATGATAATGATGATGAATATGCTTGATTACAACATGCTGTAAATTCTCAGGACTTTATTTAGGTTTATTAATTTATAAGTTATAAGGTAGTGAAAAAATAATTAACGCTATTCTATAACTTATACTTAGAGTTTACTTTGGGTTATGCCTTGGTGACTGCACCTCAACCGCTTTACTTGAAATCACTGATGACACCAGAGACAGCATCATTAATGTATATTATAAAAGTTACATTAATGATGCTTTATAACCTTTCTGATGTTTTAACTTGTGGAATACTACATCTTTCTCGCTATTCTATATATATCTTTCATATTTTAGCGCCCGTGGCTTTAACCTTGCAGGAAGCTTTGCAATGCGCCGCAACAACGTAATCGGTAGTTGGTGGCGTGTCTCCGGCCCTTTCTAGGCTTCGGCAGTACAATAATCTTCCCCTCTCCAATCTCGAGATCGACGGTACGGAACGATGGCTGAATATCGTAGACCTTGATACTTTATTTGTTTAATTATACGAATTGGAGTGGACTGTATTAGATATATTAGATAACTGACTGCAGCGGTCGGTCCAAGCTCCCAACCACGGATCGACTCACCGCGATGTCTTCGCTCATCGTGCCCCGCGACGCAGATGTCCTGTTAAGTTGGATGATCCAACAGGTATCTTAGGCAGCTGCCTTAATGTGACGTTGGCTATCTTTTCGTGCCCAGGTGCGCCTGTCCGTGTTACATAAGGGCGAAATGATTGCTTCTACCACTAGCGGCGGCGCGGGATACAATAGGAAACTTGTTTGTGGTCTTGAAGTACTTAAAATCTTTAGTGGCGTTTGATTTACAATGGTAGGAGTAAATTGTGCTTGTAGAAATTTCATAGTTTCGTCTCTTCGTAAGCGGGTAAACGGAAGTTTTTATTTTATAGAACTGTCACGGTGTGCGGCTTCGTCGCTTCTTCTCGCCTTTGTAGATCTGGATCGCAATCGAAGGCTAGATAGTTGAACTCACACTTTATATATGGACAAGGTGAGAGTGCTTGGAATTTTCTATGTATGCACTATGCACAGAAATATTATACGGAAGTTTTTCTTCACAGCGTCTTCAATGAAGTGAGATTCTGTATTGAGAGCTTACTTCGTTGACTTCCCATTTTTTGGATATCTTATCCTCGTACCAACTCGAACAGTTTTGTAAGCATTCTAATACAGTAGGTAGATATTTTAGTGCTTCTTCATTAGTTTCACAGTTTTGACGACTCCGTAGTGCAGTGGCTTAGCAATAAGTTGCAGCGCTGGGAGCCGTGTGTTCGAATCCCACACGGAACACGTATTTGTATGGCCTACAAATAAATGTTCCGGGTCTGGATGTTTGTCCTTGTGCAATTTATGTTTGTAAACTGCCTCCACGGTATAGGCAAAAATCCTAGTGTGGAGGTATTGTTTAAAAAAAGAACAGTTTGTAATCATTGTAATTGTTGAATCGGAAACAATGACTACGACGTGACCAAGCTACAAGCATTATTATACCAAAAATGTTATTAAAAGAAAACTATACGAGCATATCCGTAGCCTACAAAGTTGAGTCAACTTACTTTATATGTTTATAGCTATTTATATACCTAGTCAGGTCATAAGTATTGTCACACAGTAAAAATTTTTCTTTTAGAATTCTGGCCTCAAAAAAGTTTATTGAATTCGAATTTCGAATTGTTCATGAAAATAAAACTGTATACTTTTTAGAATTTTACTCATTTTTAAATATGGAGTGGACGCTTAAAGAAGACCGTGTTGCAGTTATTGCGTTGCATCGTTGCGGTTACGCGCCAATTCAAATTTTTGAAATACTGAAAAATTTGAATATAACCAAAAGATTCGTTTATCGTACCATCAAACGATACAATGAAGACTCTAGTGTAGATGACAGGTCAGCAGTGATAAAAGCTGTGAAGGCGCGAATTCAAAGAAATCCCAAACGTAAGCAGAAACTGTTGGCCCTTCAGATGAGGTTTAGCAGAACCACGGTGAAATGGGTGTTAAATGAAGACTTAGGGCTTCAGGCATATCGAAGAAAAACAGGACATCGTTTGAATGCTCGTCTAATGGACCTGAGACTGAAGAGATGCCGCGCTTTGTTGAAGCGGTACGCGGGAAAAAAATATCGGGGAATTCTTTTTTCGGATGAAAAAATTTTTACCGTAGAAGAGAGCTACAACAAACAAAATGATAAGGTGTACGCACATAGTAGTGAAGAAGCGAGCAACCGTATTCCGCGTGTCCAATGAGGTGGGTTTCTTATTGGGGCTTAACAGAGGTATATTTTTGTGAGAAAGGTGTAAAAACGAATGCAGTTGTGTATCAAAATACAGTCCTGACGAACCTTGTGGAACCTGTTTCTCATACCATGTTCAATAACTGGCACTGGGTATTCCAACAAGATTCGGCGCCAGCTCATAGAGCGAAGAGCACACAAGACTGGCTGGCGGCGCATGAAATCGACTTCATCCGGCACGAAGACTGGCCCACCTCCAGTCCAGATTTCAATCCGTTAGATTACAAGATATGGCAACACTTGGAGGAAAAGGCATGCTCAAAGCCTCATCCCAATTTGGAGTCACTCAAGACATCCTTGATTAAGGCAGCCGCCAATATTGACATGGACCTCGTTCGTGCTGCGATAGACGACTGGCCGCGCAGATTGAAGGCCTGTATTCAGAATCACGGAGGTCATTTTGAATAAACTTTCGTGTCATAAGAATCTATGTTTTGTGTGTGTGTGTGTGTGTGTGTATTATATGTATGTGTTACATATATATTGGAACTGAATTTAATCATAACTACTTAACTGCCCAAACTCACTCTCTGTTCCACCCAAGGTTAGCTTTTTTTTATTTATAGAATAAGGGTGACAAACGAGCACACAGTCCACCTGATGGTAAGTGGTTGCTGTGGCCCATAGACATCTACATCTATCTTTGAAATTAAAATGCGTTGTCAGCTATGAGGACTAAGATAAAATGCCTCTTTTCCAGTAATAAGGGTGTCCGTTTCTCTACACTCACCATACGAAACACAGCAGCATTAAGCTGCTATTTTACGCTGGTATTCTGTGAGAGCGTGGTCCTTCCCCGGTCGAGCTGACCCGTTAGTGCTCAACTATACTATTAATATAGCTGCAGCATGGCTTTACCACGTAAAGCTATAGCTAGCTGGTAGAAAATGCCATATAGCATTAAGCTCGCCTTTTGTACAAATATTTGGTGCAATAAAGAATAAAATAAATAAATAATTAAATTATTAGTAGAGGGTTTAAACTTTGTTTCTGTGTGACAGATAGTATATAAGCAGGCTAGTTTCATCTTCAGTATAGTCTTTGCAATGAGGCTTTCCAACCTTTTAGGTGTGAAAATATTTCACTCCAATAAAGGCCTAACCGATATACTCGAATAGCGGTGCTTAGAGTTTTTATATTTATTCTCCAAATCTCTTCTCACAATGGTAAGAGGCCTACTTCCAGCAGTGTACTGTTAAAAGGTTGACAAAGAAAATAAGAAGGAGATTTATTCATTTATCACTCTACATAAATAGATGGCAAGTGTTGATTTCAATGTGCCTCGCAGGCAAACGATATTTTTCATTGTTTTCGATAGGCAAACCTAGAAATGGATTTTTTTTCGATTTATAAAAAGATATTTTGTTTCGTTTTATCTAAGAAAAACTAATAATTGTGCTACGAAATTATATAACATCAACAGATTTCGTACAATAAAATATTATATAATAGATAGTAACAATTTAATCTACTGTACTTACCTAAAATTTGCATTTGGAGAAGGACCACTTCGAGGATCAAAACAAAGAGTATGGCATCCATGTTGCTGATCCTAATAAATTATAGAACATTTTTATTACATATTTTTAAGGTTAACTACTTATTTTTAAAGAGTAACATAGGTGTTAAGATGGCGGGAACTTGTGTTCATTAGTGAAATAAAAGATAATTTTCAATTGCTAGATTGTTTATTTTGCATTGACGTTAATAATTTTCTAAATTTTTGCATAATATACCTTAATCGCCAAAATAGCGATTATGTATAAAAATGATAGGTTTAATGAGTTTAATGAGTTTAAAAAAACGTCAGTTATCAAATCCAAATTTTAGTAATAGTTATTATTTTTGATAGTTGTATATAAAAATAAGACATTACTTTGATGTCTTCTTAACGTTTAGTAAATAGTTACAGTCTCAAAAAAAAAAGAGAAAAAATGCAATAAGCAGAAAGTTTTTTTTTTATTATATTTTAGTAGTACAACTGTTGACATTAAAAGTCCAAATAGCAGAGACCGCACGATGTGTTCTGGTTTGAAGGATATATTAGAGAGCCAGCTTAATTACAAGCTATGAGGTATATTAGTCCTCGGACATGACAACGCATCTGTAGATTTCCTCATTTGAAGTTTGTGGCGGGCTCATGAATTGCTGTAGCCAATTACCATCATTCACTTTGTCAATGTCACACTCAACGATGTCACTAGTACCTGCAGTGATAGAACTCGTTTTATTCGCGTAATAGACTATGAAATTTTAAAGCAAGAGCTTATTTAAAAAAAAATGTATAAGCATAAGGTGACAAACGAGCGCACAGTCGTCAACATCTACATTTATCCTCAATTAAAAATCAAAATTCAAAATGCAGATGCGATGTCCCCCCTGAGGACTGAGATGAAACGGCTCGTTTCCATTAAAAAGTGTTTCCTGTTCCCTACATTAACTATAAGAAACATACCATTATTAAGCTGCTATTTTACGCTGGTATTCTGTAAGAGCGTAGTCCTACCCCAGTCGAGCCGACCCGTCGTGCTACAACCATAATATAACTGCAGCGTGGCTCTACAACGTAAAATATTATTAATTATAATATATTACTATTTAAATTAATAAGTTATAATGTTAATATTATAAAATTATTAATTATGTTTATTACATATATTATAAAATTCTACTAGCTGCAATATGAGGCGTTGGTCGGATAAGAATATCATGTTAATATGATTGTTGAGAGCCCCTAGAGAGTTTGGCGAATTCATGTGACGTAACAGAATGCGTTTTGTTTACTTTTTAATTCATTTTTTTTTCTCCTTTTTTTTATAACATTTTATATGTATGCATTTTCATCTTTTGATAGGCGACACATCCTCAGGACGTTTTAATAGACTATATAGCAAGCTATGATTTTGTTCTGTTTACATTATAAACTATTTGCGTATAAAATAAAAAGAGAGAGCGTAATATCGATAATAGAAGTGGAAAGCCGAATCTTATTTCCTGTAACTGTTGATGTACTGCGGAACGTAATAATAGAGGAACGACGAAGATTACCCACGGGACAACATACAATATTGACGCTATGCAATGTGTCTTGTCTAGACGATCAAAACAGCGATAGAAAAACTTACGATTGATAATTTAAATAAATAAAAAATATATGCAAGCAACAAACAGAAACTATATGCTACCTCCATTTACATAATTATGGAGGTAATTTTAATATTTTTTAAATATTTTTATTAATTACATATAATTTTACATACTCGTACGGGAAAGAATCAGCATAATACTGCTGTCTTTCATACAGTTAGTTAATGAAACGGAGACTGAACTGAGAACATTAATTTTTAAAGAAAAAAAATGGTGATAAAAAATGATATAAATATAAAAAAATATATAAAAATCTGACAACAGATAATATACAGAAATATCGTATTCTAAGTGATGGGAAGAAATATTATCAGTTCGAGGGTACCGGCTATGTGCTCACCAACCTCAACACAACTGATAAGTTTGCACATATTTCAGATTTTGTAGTAGATTAAAAAATACTGCTAAAGAAGAAATAGAATCCAAAACTACTTGTTTAAATATATATATCATTATATGTTAATTTTTATCTTTTTTAAATTAATCTTCATTATTGGTGTTGTTTCAATGCAGGTTAAAAAGAGAATATAGAAATTATGACATTTTACCTTGCAGTTCCTTGCATTTTGGTTATTGTTGTGATACCCTGGTTTGTTTGACAAAACAGATCCAACTTTTTGAAATACAGTGGTTCCTGCTATATGACGCGTTTCGTTACGGACTAGTGGTTGATCAATGAGAAATCACTAAGCAACGTACATAACCCGATTAATCAATAAACCAAAATGCAATAACTAGATAAGTAAACGCGTACACTCATGTATGATCTAAACGGGGAAAAACAATGCGTGTTTTCTACTGATTGTAGCCGCTTATGCGAACTCACGTTATGAACATTTTTCACAGTAAATATACTGGTACATCAGTAACTCGCCTTGGCTTTACTAAAAGCAACACCGCAATAGCAAACTGTGAAATCGGGTCACAAATTTTTTATTTGATTTTTTTTATAGGATTAGGGTGACAAACGAGAACACAGTCCACCTAATGGTAAGTGGTTACTGTGGCCCATAGACATCTACATCTATCCTCGATTACGAATCAAAATGCAAATGCGTTATCACCCGTGAGGACTAAGATGGAATGCCTCGTTTCCAGTAAAAAAGGGTCTCCGGTTCTCTACACTCAGCATACGATACACAGCAGCGTTATGTTGCTATATTACGCTGGTATTCTGTGAGAGCGTGGTACATCCCCGATCAAGCCGACCCATTCGTGCTACAACTATACCAGTAATATAGCTGCAGCATGGCTCTAACACGTAAAACTGTGCGACTGATTAATATCATGAAAATGTTTTCTAAAAAAAGCAGTAAATATGTCATCAGCCTGTGGAAACTACTACTCTACTTATTTTAATTTTTTATATTAAAAACAGTAGCTCTCATCATGATTATAATTACAGCCAATCACCAGTCCCTTAATAAACATAGGTCTAGAGTCACTTTTATTCATCGACTATGGGAGTCGATGAATGAAAATGCTTTTCAGGAATCACTGCATATAGTAGGCGCCCTTTACTACATTTGCCTGTACACGTTAGTTAGTTACAACCTATATACGTCCCATTGCTGGGCACAGGCCTCTTCTCACTTCCGAGAGGGTTTTAGAGCGGACTTCATATGTCTACGGAATATTATATTTTTTTATTTCTCAAACATGCAGGTTTCCTCACGGTGTTTTCCTTCACCATCAATCACGTGATAAATCAGTACTAAAAATTGCAATTAACAATTTCATTGGTGCCGGCGGGGATCGAACCCGGGTTGTTCGCGTACTGTGAAATGTACAGCGAGCGCTTAGCCCGTGCGCTACGACGGCTCTGTCATCATTACAGCCCTTCACAAGTCCACTGCTGAACATACGCCTACCCCAAGGATGCCACAAAGCATAGTCCTGAGCCACCTGCATTCATCGACTTCCTGCATGTCTTGCCAGGCCGTCACTTCATCTAGTGGGGGGACGCCCTACACTTCGTCGGGCGGTACGAGACTGCCACTCGAGAACCTTTTTTCCCCATCGGTTGTCGGTTCTTCGAGCTATATGGCCGTCCCATTGCCATTTCAGCTTACTAATCCGTTGGGCTATGTCATTCGCTCTGGTTCTACTGCGGATATCCTCATTTATAAGTTTATCACGCAGAGAAACCCCGAGCATAGCCCTCTCCATAGTTCACTGAGCGACTTTGAGCTTCCTCATACGGCCAGCAGTGAAGGACCCCGTCTCAGTTCCATAGTAATCACTGGCAACAGTTAACAGAGTGACACAAATGTTTTGTTCCAGTGCAAGTCTGACCGTAAACTATTTAAACGTGAATTGTTGGTTTTGGAGCTATATATAATATGACTGAAACAGCAATGTTAGCTCTTTGATTTGTTATCTCAGTTCCTGTTCTGCAGGTCAATATCTCCGTTATAAGCTATGAAATTTTACTACGCAATAAAGTTGGTGTGATTAGCCTTATACGTTACGTTCAGTGACTGCAGCTTCCTCTAATACTCAGAAGTAAAAGGTTACGTAGCGTTCGGTGGTTTAAGGGACGGGAAATGTTGCCCCGATTTGTCAAACGCTGTTCACTTATAAGTTGTAATCGTTTGTTAAAACCATAGACTTAGAATTTACTTCTAAGTCTATGGTTAAAACTCTTGATCGACTTGGAAGGTCGTTAAACATTTTATTCGAGGTGTTCAAAATGAAGAACAAAATTATATATATATTTTTAATAATATTGATTTAAAAATTAGTAACGCACACAGTGACACTACGAGTACAGAAACTGTAAGACATTTTTAAATCTCTTTTAAAATGGAAAAATGTTGGCAGTTGCAATAATTACTAACAAACGTTTGTTGTTTTTAAATTATCATATAACCACGATCAATTACATTTTTTTATTGGATAATGGTGACAAACAAGCACACAGTCCACCCGATGGTAAGTGGTTGCTGTGGTCCATAGACATCTATGTCTATCCTGGATTACGAATCAAAATGCAGATGCGTTGTCACCCGTGAGGACTAAGATGGAATGCCTCGTTTCCAGTAAAAAGGGTCTCCGGTTCTCTACACTTACCATACGAAACACAGCAGTGTTAAGCTGCTATTCTACGCTGGTATTCTGTGAGAGCGTGGTCCTTCCCCGGTCGAGCCGACCCATTCGTGCTACAACTATACCAGTAATATAGCTGCAGCATGGCTCTACGACGTAAAGCATGGCACTATACTAAAATTATCTTTATAATATATAAAATTACGGTGTTCGTGTGTTCGTAATTCTTAACCTCCTAACGGTAGGGTCACCTGGTTGATACTTAGCTATAGTTGGATCCGGTAGGTGATCGCTAGTAATATTATAAATTACACCTTATAATGATAATATTACCATGTAAAAGGTGG